TGAAAGTTGCGGGTCCTTCGGATGAGACCTTAAAAACCGAGGCCCCGTGTCAGCAGCAGGCGTTGGCACGATAAAGATCACTCACTGCTCAATGGCCCAAAGTGCTGAGTAAAGGTCAAACTTTGAAGCCCTTCACCGGCATACGCCGACGTCTCCATATGGGTGAAAAATTCTGGAGAGGGACGTTAAACAATATACAATCAATCAATTAATCATGCTAAGAAAAGCAATACAGTACAGGTACCTACGGTAAGAACAACAAAACATGAACTACACTCTCTTAGATATGCAGGAGCCAAACTATGGAATGAACACCCTGAAACAAATAAAAAATGCGACCACAATTAATCAGTTAAAAAGTCTAATTAACAACTGGATTGGAGATTCCTTTAAGTGTGGTTCCTGCAAATCTTAATTTGTAGATCTTAATTTTTGTCCCCCGGTTGAAAAGTGGGGGATATTAATTTGAGTTTTCCGTCCGTCTGTCCGTCCGTCCGTCTTTCTGTCTGTCTGTAACGCTTTCGTTTCCACACGATATCTCGAGAACCCTTTGAGCTTTAGCAACTCCCTATGGTCTAAAGAAGAACCCTACTGATTTTAAGGTGAAAAGGTCAAAGGTCAAGGTCATAAATAAGCAAAATTTGTCTCTTAAAACACTTTCGTTTCCACGCGAGATCTCTAGAACCATTTGAGCTATTGCAATGAAATTTTACATAGCAGCTCCCTGTGGCCTAGTGAAGACCCCTATTGCTTTTGATGTCAAAAGGTCAAAGTTCAAGGTCGTAAATTTATACATTCTGTCTGTGTGTTACACTATCATTTCCGGGAGATATTTCAAGAAGATTTTGAGCTAATGCAATGTAATTTTATACCAAAACTCCCTAGGACCTCTCTCACCCCTCTCAAAGTGCCCCGCCCCGTTTGTTTTATTAGTATTTATATAGTATTAGATGTCGCTATTTTTAGCACAGGGGCAAGAGGAGAGTTATTGCGTATAAAACAGGTTCTCGGCGGACTTAATGTTCTTATTACATCTATTAGAACTGTTTAATAAAGGCTAAATGAATCAAACACCATGGATTGTGTAAAATTTTGACAATACCAAACTTGAATATATACATGTATGTGACTTCACTTCTGCATATACTTTATGTAAAGCGATTCTGTGGTTTAGTGGTACATGTATGTTTCTCGCTTCCCATGTGGGAGGTCCAGTGTTCAAATTCCGGGTTGACCACTTTTTTTTTTTGGAAATCCTTTTTTTTTTGCTAAATAATAGCATTCAGCATGCTAAATAAAAAATTTACGAGGTCTGGCTTGTATACTCTAAAAATCACCATTACAGTGTGATAAATGTTCCATATTAAAGAATCTTCTATACACATCTTCTATACACATAATAAAGAATAAGCAATTAAATCTTTATATAATCCATAATAGTGTATTTTATTTGCTTCAGTATACATGCATGTATACATTTAATAATTCTATAAATTCAGTGAGTCTCCCACTCACACCCCCACCCCCACCCCCCACCCAGAACTGCGCATGTTTTACTTTTTCCTTAAGCGGGGGACACATATTCTCTGAATTAGCTTGTCATATCTTAATCTTCAGTTTCATTTTATGTTTCCTTTACTTACTATATATATTCTTACAAAAATTATTTTTTGTGTTATTTTTTTAAGTAGGTCAAGGAGGTATCATAGCTCATGTTCCCTTGTTACACTGTAAATACTCCTTAGGAAAAAGTTTTAGTAAAGTATAATTTACTTCAGTCAATTAAAGCTAACTGATAACTTTGTGACTCTATAATGATAATTTTGATTTACTCTAGTTATACCAATTATGACACTATAGAACTTAACAATTCTGAAAACTTTGATTTTCTGTAGTAATCTTTTTTGGCACTATAGTGATTACTTTAACAACTTTGGTTTACATTTCGAGTAGCGATAACTTTGACACTTTGATTTACATTGGTAAACTTTGGTCAACTATGGTATTTTTGTAGGGATTTGCCAACAATAAATAATATCAACTTGAAGACTGACTTGAAATTTTAGTTATTTTTATTAAACTCTATACAACTTACTGAACTGTTATGCAACATACACTTTATGTTCACGTCATAGAAATAGAAATTTACCATTTCCCCGCAAGCACCTTATAGTGTGACAGACGTTTCTCTAATGTTTATCGTAAATGATATAATTATGATGTTATCTTTTAATGAAAAATATTTTTTTTTATTTTATGAGATGTTTGTAAGTATAAAATACAAGGATATTGGCATTAAATTAAAGATTAAATGAATTTTTTATAGTGCGTGAAAATGCGTGATTGCGGGGAAAAGGTATATGCGTGATTTTGCGTTAGAAATAGAAAATGGTATATGCGTTAAATTGCGTGACTGCGGGGAAGGGGGTTAAAATACATGTATATCCGGTAAATTTGGTTATAATATGACATTTACAAAAGCTACTTATTTCTTAATGACCCCATTACTTCTTTGAACATTATCTCTACTCTCTCTCCAAATAGTTTTAGTATTTTTCATTATCCCTTTATTTGTGAAGGCCCTGAATTATCTGGACGTTTAAGCAAGCTCTAGCTTTCATTTTTGTAAGACTATTTTTAGCAGTTATCAGTATGGTTTTTAAAATTTTCAGTTCTTGCAATGACGTAGTCAAAATGTCTTTATCATATTTAATAACACCCTTGGAAAGGAGCTATTCTTTCCATGATTTGAATGCATTTTTTATGTTGTTTTAATTTTTTAATCCTAAAATACCCGCAAAATCTTCTTACATTAAAAAGAGAACAACAAGCAAGTTATTAATCATTTACAATGACATTGCTGTCCTTATATAATTTCTAGAGTGACAGGAGGTATAACTCTCTCAGGAAAAAAACTTATTTTCTAGCTTATAAGAAATAATATAAAATTTAAAGAATATGCAAAGAATTTTTTTGTTATTCTACATTTTGTTAATAGTATTTTATCTGCACATGGAATGGGGTAATAGCTGTAAGGCCTCTTTTTGTGATCGTTTTCTGTTACCATTTTGTCAAATCAGGTTTCTCCATGGATCGTTGAAAGTAGCGACCCTACCACAGTTAAATCCCATAGCGTTCCGGCTCAGTAAGATTTTGAAGCCACAGTAAGAAATTCGTCGTTCAGTAACACAAATGTTTTAATTTATAAATCTTACAATGGCCCTTAAAATCATACACCGTTTTATGTGTCTTTTGTTCAATAGTTAACATATGTATATCACAATCTTGTTTTGGATTACATGTACATTATTCAGAAACGCTTTATCCATATTTGATGGCAGGCATATCAGTGCCTACTTTATGCTATATTTACTTTTAGGCGATCAGATTGCATAATATGATATCAAAGATTTTTGTGCTTTTCCAAGTCTTTTTTTGTTTTGCGTCATTAACTTCAATAAATGACATTCATTTTTTCACTTTCATTAATGTTGTTATTTTCTTTTAATCCATAAAAAAAACTTGCTCCATTGCATTAATAACAAAGGAACATAAATAGTATTTTATTATTCTTAAGTGCAAATTAAAGAGACTTTAATCCACAGGTTTAAAGTTACTTGGTCTGACTCACTTAATTGAGACTTGGTAATTTTAAATATATAGGTGAATTTAGTTTTATTGTATGTGAACAACTAGAATATATCGTTGCATTTCGTTTTCGGAAATATGCATATCGTTTCCGACATTTTTTGTTTTCATTTCCGACATTTTTTGTTTTCATTTCCTACATAATTTCTTTTTCATTTCCGGAATTTACCTGTGCGACAATTCAATGTTTTGTAAGTAAAAGAAAATGGAATTTTGAAAGTATTTATACCAAAATATTAATAATAATAATAAAATCATCGATACATAATATATGCATACATGTAGCACCAAGTCTTGGTAAAAGAGTTCAATGAGTATAAATAATTTTCACCACATTTAATGTGCACTAAATTAAATGTCAGTGACAGCACCATACTTATGTCCAAGTCACCGATAGATTAATTTACAAAATTAGAATTAAATAATTTATTTATGATTTATTCCTTTAAAATTTTCACGAGTAAAGTTATCAAATTTATAGGTACATATGTACCGGTATTTGAAAAATGTCGGAAATGAAAACAAAAAAATGAGGATTAAAGACTTAAACCTAAACCTTTTTTTATTGCTGTTACTATTATTTTCAGATTCTATAAGCTAATATTTGTTTATCAATAAATACCTATGTAGAATGAAGGAGAGGTGACTTATTTCACAGTACTATGATATTAGAAAGTAAGTTATACATTGGAGGAGTTAAGTGTTGCACTACATGTATGTTTACTCGATATCCATCAATTGTTTTTCGTATATTCAAACTTATTACCACTCCAGAACAAAAACCCGCTAAAGCTACAATGAATATAAATGAATGAAAAACAGTTTAGTGAATATTGATATTTTTTTAATATAAAAAAATCTTTTTAATTATCTTTCCGAATTTTTATTGTGCAAAGTAGCATATTTGAAAATAATCAAAATATTAATGCATCTTCCTGTTTTCTCAAATAATTTTAATGATTATTACAGTAAATAGTCTTGTGACATGTGGTATACATTTGGGGATCTCCCTTGTTTTGTACCTGGATATGATTTTATCCAACTTGATGTGTGTTTTATCCCCGAGTTTAAGTCGGTCACAATCAAATTAAATTAAGGAGTTAGTCTATTTGTTACAACTAGATTTGTTGCGATTCAGGGTATTCAAAAAATAAAATCAATCGATCGTTGAAAAAATTAAAAAGCCATTCAAAGTAGAACTAGCGAAGTACAAATTCCCTTACATCAATTTGTCTATGATCAGCATATTTTTAAGTGTAAATATGAATAGTATCTAAAATCATGCATAGAACAATGTGATAATAAATTAACCACAAACATTTCTTTCTCAATTCCATTTTTACAAGGTACAGACTGAAAAGCATCATGGCAGAACAAAACCATGGGTATGATGATAAAAGTGAGAAAGGTTTGAATTACTTCACCTTCCTTTTATGAGCGTAAACAGTAATTAAAGTGAACAAAGTGTATTAAAATTAATTTCCATCAATACCTCCTTACTTTTGTAAATAGATGTTTATGCATGATTTATTATACATAAAGAAGTTTCATATTTACTGACTATGTTTTTGTTATGTTAATGGTATCTCTAAAGATCATTTGATACCGAAAGTCAACATAATTCCACCAAACGATTGTGCGGAAGATAATAAAGTGAAAGAGGAAAAAATAGAAAATGAATCAGATGATGGAATGTCATCAGGATCAAAGAGTCGTAACAAACAAGGTAAAGTCGACACATGCAGAATGTTTTTTATGTGTAGCTTTGGGGTTTGTGCGAGAGTCATTCATTAAAAAATGCAACTGGGTACGAAAAATATGACGAAACCTTAAATTCAAACAATGTATTACATCAATCCTTTGAAATATTCCCCATTTATTTTATACACTTTTCAAGTCTTTTAATCAAAGCCCGGAAAGCCCCTGCATACTCGTCTTTATAGATACCTACAATGAAGCGCATTGAAGTGGTAAAATTTTCCGTTTGGATGAAACGTTCTGAGCCATGTTTCGAACGTCAATTACAACATAATGACACGCCCATATTTTTAGAAACGAGAAAGAAATATTCGTCGTAATTTTTTAGGCACCCCATTCTTCGCAACAAGTAATATGAGTTGCACTGAAATGGAGCTTTAAAAACATTAAAAGAGAGAGTAAGAGACTCTCCGCTTCTGTAAAACACAAATTGCAACGAATATGTACATATTTTTGAACTTATCATGTCTATTGAAGTTACCACAACACGTTTCGGTCGAACACGTGTTTACTCGGTATTTATTTAGACCTTCAATTTCATTGGCTATTATGTTTATGGAAAACCTGTTCTACAGGTATTCGAATATAAAAATTGACCGTTTTATCCATTTCTAAAAAAAATGGACGTGTCATAAGATGACAATAAACGTTCTAAAGATAGCTCAAAACGTTCCATTCGAACGGAAAATTTTAACACTTCAATGCACTTCAATGTAAAAGGCACTGATAGATGGCACTGCCAACGGCCAATCCGGAGCCATGGCCTCTTCTGGACAATATTTTTGCGTGGACCCTGAGGTCCACGCAGTAATTATATAAGCGAGGTTAAACCGGATGCCATGGGCAAACGACACTGTCAGGCTACGCATGCACAAGAATGCTTGAGAGTTCGCACCTTGGTAACTTGCTCGTAGAATAATTCACCCGATTCTGATTAGAATATGCCATTTATTGGCAAATCGTGCTTTTAAATCTGCATATCGCATTTACATATTCATTGGCAGATCCAAATTTTTCTTATACATATACTTTTATATACAAACTAAATATTGATTCTATAGTACAAATATTTTTAAAAAGTAGGAAGAACTTGAAGATACACGTAACTTAACTTGAATGAAAAACGTCAATTAACGACTAGTTCTGGCTTTTAAAAGTTTTCACCGACATTACTTTTGTGCATCAAGGCTCGCAGAAAAATTTAATATTTTGGAAATCCAAAAAAATTTAATAGAGGTCTGTAGCAATGGCTTTTAATGGGGGAGGGGGGGGGGGCAAAAAAAAAATCTGTGTACTACAAAGCTGTGCTACACGTGAACCATCAGAATTCTATTTTCCCATGATAGATTTCTTCCGTATAAATCCATAATAGGTGTCAAGTCCCAGCCATTATGGGTTACATGTACATGTATCAAATTAGCCCGATTTTTTTTAATCTGACAAAACTAAAGGCCCCTTATCGGAGATAAAATTTGACAATTTTGCTTTGAGACTACAATTAGTCATACATGTACGTAGGCAGATCATTGTAGAAAATATAAAAAAGCCTACATGAATATTCACTACACCTAGAAATTTTCTTAATTTAATTTTGGTTAGAAAAACATGCATGTGGTCCACGTAGTGCAGTCCTCTTTTAAAGGACAGCAACTTGTCTTTAGTTTAGGAAAGAGTCGCATGAACTCAGATCTGGAGAATATGGCGGGTGTTTCAACTCTGTATCTCTTTAATTCTTTAGAAACGCTTTTATACTGTACTTCTTTATGTTTGTGTGCGGCAGCTTTGTCTTGCAGCAGGTAAATTCCACGAGGGCCTGTTTTTAGGCGTCTTTTACGGAAGAGATGTTTCATTTTGTTCAATATTCTAATTTTGTAGAAACAAGCCATTTACGGTTCTTCTTTTGGGTTCAGGAATTTTAACGATTACACCGATAGAGTTTAAAAAATTCTGTACAAAACCTTCTCTGAACTCTGGCATCTTCTTGCAATAACTGGTCTTCTGTTGCATATTCTAAGCCACATTCTATTATCTACTTTTCTTTGACGTGAACACAGGTCTTATAACCTGTTATGATACTGGAAAGTTTTCTCTTGTCACAATTCCTAAAGGATTTTAGGAGCTCTTTCGCCATTTTACTCTTGTCTTCTATTGTTCCTCAGTTAGTAAATGAGGCACCCACCTGGCTGAAACTTTCCTTAGATTTAGCTCTTTAGTTATAATTGTGTGTGCTCTTTCCGTTCAAACCTTGGAGGGCCTTTGCATTGTTTTCCACGGTGTTTCTTGCATCTTCTGTTAACATTGTACTCACAGCATGGATATTTCTTTGGATCATATTTCTTTTTGGTCCACTTGTTTCTCCTTGTTAGAATTTCTTCATACATCTGCTGACTTTACTGTATAAATAGTATCCTTTCCATAGACAGCAACTATCTCTTTGTAGGTGTCTTTGCTTGGTTTTCCTAGCAATACGCAGTTTTTCATACATGCTCGCATTTCTTTTTTCAACTGAGCGGCTATTTTTGACCTACAAATTACTAAGTGTAATGACCATTCCGATTTTTAATTGTAAGAAATTTGTGAATAAGAAAGCAAATTTCGTGCAGTTTTTGGGGTGTGAGAACGGAAGAAGGAATGGAATAAAAATTGAACCTGTAGAAAAGAATATCCAAATATACCATGTATTTTTTTTTAAAGAAAACAATGTTACTTACCGGCGTAATTTCTCTGGTGAGATTTTTATTTTGGCACTCTCGGAATAGGCACTATTTAATGTCCTTTAATTTTATAGCAGTAAAATGTTTTTTCATACTAAATATTCTTAGAAGAAATATTGGTTTTAACAATACCTCCAAAAACAATATCAGATTTACATTAACCATCCCTTTCAATAGCAAATGATCCTTCATTTGAATAAGTCTGATTTTATTTTGCACAAAAATGTATTGCACTTCTGATTAACTTGGTCTTATATTTCTATAGAAAATTATGTCGAAAATGTCTTTAATGTACCTTTTATAGCCATCTCACTACCCAGTATGTACCACTAGAAAAACAATATGCATGCAACAAAAAAGAAAAACACAGAGAAGTTCAGAATACAGACTTCCAAAAGTTTGATGAAAATAAATTCCTTTAAGACTTGAAATATGTAAACTTTAACAATCTCCTCCAGATCCATGATCCTAATGAAATACAAACGGAATTCTATGAATAATTTAATAGCATACTTCACCCGCATGCACAAGTTAAAACCAAACAACGAGTAAAGAGTGAAATCTATCCTAAATGGATGATACAAGAAATAAACAATGCTAGGCACTTACGTGACTCATATCATAAAGAAAGAGATATAGATCATTATAGAATTTATCGAAACAAACGTAGTCTCCTGATAGGCAAATCAAATCTTCATAAATGCACTTTAAAACAGCGATTGAACAGAGTTAAAAAAAAAAGAAATGTGGCCATATCTTTACCAATTTACGTGTAATTCAGAAAACATAACTCCATCTCATGTGCTTTCTAATGGAGAAATTATTGATAATTTAGAGGATTTTTGCAAATATGTTTAATTTGCTGATCTTTGTAAGATTAAGAAATGGTGTGCTCAAAATCAAATTGTATTATATGTAAATAATTTAATTTCACTTGTATTAAGCAATTTCATTGGCTGAATCATTCAGAGGAACATATAATATTTTGGATAACATAACTTGCCTACGTCACAATGAGTTACGTCAAAAACGTATTACTCCGCTTGACGTTACTTTTAAAATAATGCTCAATTTGAAGTCTTTTTCCGGAGGAAATATTGACTCATTGCCTACACTAGAATTAAATTATAAGGAATGAAGCTAATTTCAACTTATGTTATCCGATATAACAAAACTTGGGGCAGTTTACGCTTTTTTATAAACCGCTTCGCGGTTTATAAAGCGTAAACTGCCCCAAGTTATGTTATATCGGATAACATAAGTTGAAATTAGCTTCATTCCTTAAATAAACAAAATGTACGTTAATGGAAACACTGCAAAGAAAATTAAAACTAGATAATCCAAATATACGATTTTATGATTCAGATAAAACAATTGAAATAGTTGAAACTGAAAAAAATTCTGTGCATATTGGTGATAAGTGAAACTGAAAAAAATCTTGGTGTACATATGATAAATTACAGTATGCAAATCATAATGATTCTATTTGTTAATCATAAATTTTAACTTATTTACTCCCCGCAGGATTGAGAAGTTTCTCCCTATGCGTACCAGAAAACTATTTTACATTGCTTATATTTTAGCGTGCCCCAAAGCAGGGTTGGACGGACGGACAATTTAATTACAAAAACAAAAAGGGCAGTCAGGATTATTCTTGACGCAAGTACTTATTCTTCTTTTTAACAACTGTTTGAGAATCTGAGAGGATTTATGAGCTATGCAAATAAATAAAATTATACAGAAGTTTTAGAGAAATTACTCCCTTATTATCTTTGTGCTTTATTTGAATTTCTCTCCTCAGCTTTTTATGAACTGCGAACTAATTATGACTTTAGATAACCAAAACTCCGTACAAACGTATTTAAGACCTCTTTTAAATACAGTTAATTCTCGATAAACCGCCACCTTTTGTAATCTAGAAATCATGGCGGTATAACGAATTTGGCGATGAATTGAATTCCCCATCTTTTAGGAAACAAGAAGTAGAGTTACCGTTCTTAGAAATACCATAAAGTGTTTCTATTCTTATAAGTACATGTACATGTATATAAAAGATATTTCTAAATTTTAAAATACTTTAAATAATTTTTATGTACAATTCCTTTAAAACAAAATGTGCAGTTATGAAAAAAGACACGTACATGTGCATCTATGTACATGTAAATCGGCACGTCTGATATTGGAAAAAAAAAAAAACATGCTGGGTCGATCGTCGTGATATATTGCTGACAGTACGTAAAATGGTTTCTTG